TTATTTATTTATTAAAAGGTCTTTTATATATATGTTTTATTGATTTTTTACAGGTAGGAAAGGGAGGGATAGAGAGTTAGAAACATTGATGAGAGAGAATCATCGATCAGCTGCCTCCTGCACACCCCCTACTGGGGATGTACATGCCCTTGACCGGAATCGAACCTGGGACCTTTCAGTCCACAGGCTAACGCTCTATCCACTGAGCCAAACCAGATTCGGCTTGCTTTTATTTTTTTTTAAATATGTTTTTATTGATGAGAGAGAGAGAGAGAGAGGAAGGGAGAGGGAAAGAGAGAAGCATCCATGAGAGAAAAATCACTAATGGGCTGCCCCCTGCATACCCTCTAGCTGGGATGGAGCCTGCAACCCAGGAACCAAACCGGCCACCTCCTGGTGCTCAACCAGCCGGGCACGTTTGCTTGTTTTAATTGTCTCTTCCTTGAGGGCCGGGGCTATATTTTATCTGCAGTGTATTCCCAGTGCCATAATTACATGTGTTACAAGGAAATTCCATGATTGTACTTAAGTGTTGGGTTTTACTTGAGAAAACAGCTGTGGTATATAGATACATAGTTAATGAGCCTTTTTCTGATTTTTCTTAGCGGTCAAATTTATAGGTACATACTGTCTCTCCCTTTCGTAACACTGAGTTCCATTGTTACACCAGAGCGCTCTGTTACCTGAAGCTGTGCCAGTTTGAAGAGGCAAAGCGGGACTGCGACCAGGCGCTCCGGATAGATGACGGGAACGTGAAAGCCTGCTACAGACGGGCTCTTGCTCATAAAGGACTCAAGGTGAGGCCCTCTTCATCTCAATGCATGGAGCTCGGCTCCGAACAAATCAGGCCGTTTTCACGAACATCAGTCTCGGGATCCAGGAGTGGGACTGAGGTCATCCTGGCATTTTAATCCTAGTTCTATACCAGTGGTGGGTAAACTCGTTCGTCAGCAAAGCCAAACGTCAACAGTACAACGATTGAAATTTCTTCTGAGAGCCACATTTTCTAAACGTAACCTTCTTCTAACGCCACTTCTTCAAAATAGACTTGCCCAGGTCGTGGTATTTTTGCGGAAGAGCCACACTCAAGGGGCCAAAGAGCCGTATGTTTACTGACCACGGTTCTATACTAACCAGTTCTGAAACCTTGGACCAGCCCTCAGCTTTCTCCTGATTATAATGAGGAGCTAGACTAATTTCTAAGTGTCCTTCCAGCTCAAAAATTATTATTTATTTCCTGATTTTTCTAAGGAGTGTTGTTAGTTATGAAAAGTCTACTTAAAGGACAGGAATGAGTGTGTGTTTTTTACTGACTTGCTCCAGGCCACGCCAGCACTGTCATTGGATTTCTCCAGCAAAGGACTGGCGTTGTCTGGGGTGGGAGGAAGGCATCGGAAGGGAAGATGGTAGAGACATCTCAGAAATTGGGGAGCTCATGGTGATTTGGGTCTTAACTGACTGGTGGTTAGTATGGGACTATCGAGTGGCATTCTCTATAAGAGAATCACATTTTCAAAGAAAGTATTATATAATTGCGCTTTGGGGATTATTTTTGTCTTGGTCTTTTAATAATTTTGCTGTTGTTGATTTGAGAAAGAGAGAGAAACACTGACTGTGCTTTCCCACTCGTTTATGCTTCCATTGGTTGCTTCCTGCATGTGTCCCGATGCGGGCTTGAACCTGCAGCCTTGGGGTACTGGGATGATGCTCTAATCAGCTGAGTTTCCCAGCCAGGGCTGCTTTCGTTTATGCCGGAAAACGTGAACGAATGTTCATGTTTGTCCAAAATAGCATCACCTGGGAAAATCAGACCGTACAGAACAAAGTGATACGTTCTGAAATGGCATTTTTAAAATACTAACCCTGGCCTATTATGCTTTCTGCTGGTCATCTTTTTATTTTATTTATTTATTTATTTATTTATTAAGCCTCGCCTGAGGATATTTTTTCATTGATTTTTAGAGAGAGGAAGAGAGAAGGAAAGACAGAAATATCGATGTGAGAGAAACACATCAATTGGTGTGGGTGGGAGCGGCAATGGTAAGATATGTACACATATAATACCTTAATAAGAAATGGAAAAAAAATTGGTTATCTCCTGCATGAGCCTTGACAGGGGCCCAGACCAGAAAGGAGGAGCCTGCAACTGAGATATGTGCCCCTGACCGAATCGAACCCAGGACCTTTCAGTCTGCAGGCTTACACTCTATCCACGGAGCTAAACCAGCTAGGGATGAAATGGCTTTTTAGAAATTTTATTTTATTTATTTATTTTTTTAAATATATTTTATTGATTTTACAGAGAGGAAGGGAAAGAGATAGAGAGCTAGAAATGTAGATGAGAGAGAAACATCGACCAGCTGTCTCTTGCACACCCCCTACCGGGGATGTGGCCGCAACCAACGTACATGCCCCTGACCGGAATGGAACCTGGGACCTTTCAGTCCGCAGACCGACGCTCTACCACTGAGCCAAACCGGTTTCGGCTGAAGTGGCTTTTTAAAAATATATATATTTTATTGAATTTTTACAGAGAGTAAGGGAGAAGGATAGAGAGTTAAAAACATCGATGAGAGAGAGACACCGATTCAGCTGCCTCCTGCACACTCCCTACTGGGGATATGCCTGCAACCAAGGTAGATGGTCTTGACCAGAATGGAACCTGGGACCCTTCAGTCTGCAGGCCGACACTCAATCCACTGAGCCAAACCAGTTTAGGGCATGAAATGGCATTTTTAATAGTTAATTTGATTATGGTCTAATCCAGTGAAATTCACACATTGTAAACGTGCAGATCTTGGGCTTCTTTCTCAGCAATTTTTTTTAATTGAAAGATAGTAGTTTCATGTGTACAATATAATGATACGTGTATATATAGCAAAATGACCACTGTACTGTCCATCGCCACACATGGTTACAAATCTTTTTCTTGTGATAAGGACTTTTAAGATCTATTCTCCTAACACCATCACATATATACTACAGCATCATTAACTACAGTCACCTTACTCTACATTACACCCTCATGAATCATTTATTTATTTATTTATTAAATTATATGTGTACATATCTTACCATTGCCCCCCCTCCCAAATCATTTATTTTATAATTTGAAGTTTGTACCTTTTGACCACCCTCACCCATAGTGTTTATTCTCCACCCCTCACCTCACCTCTGGCCACCCCCAGCCTGTTCTCTGTGTTAGTTCAGGTGTGTGTGTGTGTGTGTGTGTGTTCGTTTGTTTGTTCCACACAGCACTGAGGTCAGACGGTAATTGTCTTCCTCTGTATGACTTATTTCACTTGGCACAATGCCCTCAATGTCCATGTTGTTGCAAACGTCAGGATTGCCTTCTTTTCTTATGGCTGAATAATGTGTATATACACCACATTTTCTTTACCCGTTCTTCCATCGGTGGGCATCGGCTGTTTCCAGTTGTTGGCAATCGTAAATAATGCTGCAGTGACCATGGCGGTGGGATAGCTTTTAGAATCAGTGACTGTTTCCTTTGGATATGTACCCACAAGTAGTGTTTTTGATTTTGAAGAAACTTCGTACTGTACCAGTTCACATTCCAATGTTATTTTGCTATTGAGTTGTATGAGTTGTTTTTTTTTTTTTTTTTAATCTACTTTGGACATTAATCCCTTATCAGATATATGATTGGCAAATATTTTCTCCCACTCAGTAGGTTGTCGTTTTATTAATGGTGTTCTTTGCTGCGCAGAAGCTTTTGAGTTTCATGTAGCTCCACTTGTTTGTGTTTGCCTTTATTGCCTTTGGTTCTGGTGTCAAATCCAAAAAATCATCACCAACACCAAAGTCAAGAAGCTTACTGCCTATGTTTTATTCTAGTGTTGTGGTCCCAAGTCTTACATTCAAGTCTTTAATCCGAGTCCAGAATATCTTTCTATCAGTATCTTAAGGGTTTTTGGAATACAGAGCTTTCAACTCCTTCATTGAATTCATTCCTAGGCATTTTATTCTCTTTGATGCAATTATAAATGGGACTGTTTTCTTAATTTGGCTATTGATCTGAATAAGATATATATTCCCATGTAGCCACTGCCTCAGTTAAGGTAGAGAACATTTCCATCTCTCCAGAAAATTTCTTCTGCACATTGTGTTTAATCTCCACCCTCCCACCCCATCCCATTTATCTAATTGCTGCTGCTATAGATTAGTTGGGCACATGCCCTCATTGTGAGCTCCACGCCCAGTGAGGGGGTTGTGCAGGAGGCAGCCAGTCAGTGATTCTCATCGTTGATGTTTCTATCTCTCCCTCTCCCTTCCTCTCTGAAATCAATCTCTATCTATCTATCTATCTATCTATCTATCTATCTATCTATCTATCTATCTTAAAGAATGCAGTTGTAGCCACATAAAGAGGTGGTGCATAGGGTGGGATCTAGGAAAGTCCTGAGCCAGGAGCCTCTGTCTGAATGGAGCTGGATGCACCACCCTCCCAGCATGGGATGCAGTCACCAGCCTGGAGCTCCACACTTGCCTGCGTGACCCTGACTCCCTGCCCCTCTCATTTTGTTAACAGCGCTCATACGTAAGCCTCACTGAAGGTTTTCTAGGCAGTGTGTGGCACCCTGAATTAAAGTGGTCTCTTCAAAATGAACAGCTTTCATGGAGCTCAGTGGGTTTGAGCGCATGAGGGTGGATCTGCGCGATGTCTACATGTGTGCAACTCCCCAGCAGCCTGACCTCATTCTGGCTGCCTGACTCAGAACTTGTTTACCTGACTGACTGAAGTCAAGAGACGTACCTAATGAAAGACCAGAATCTCATACTTCCTGGAGCAAATTCCGGAAATTGCATTATGGATGTAGAAAGATAATCCCAAGATTGAGTGATCCCATTCTACTAAATTAGGAGGCGGGCGGCTCGTTTTTCTGGTTTGACTCCTTATGGCTCAGTGTGCACGCCCTGTCGTCAGAGCTTCGTGCCACAGGGGTTTGTTTCCAGCTCTGCGCAGGCCTCGGCGGCTTCCCAATGTGTCGCTCACACCTGGACCCGCCTCCTCGGGGGCCGGGACGGGGAAATGGCACAGGGGCCACCGTGACAGGTGCCCTGAGCTCTCAGGGGACACTCTGCCGCCTGGATCTCCTGTCTCTCTCCCCGCGGGCTTTCCTCTCTCTGCGTGCCAGTTTTGAAAAGCACAGACCTTTCCTTAATGCACAGTTGTCCTTCACGAGAAAAGGTAACCGAACATTTTGCTGCTGACTTACAATCTGTTCCTTGGGACCGGGGAGGTGAGGGAGGCCTGGGGCCTGCCTTGTGGCATTTACAGCCCGTTGGCGATGCTGCGGTTACCAAGACATCAAATCACGTCTATTGCTGGGGGAATCTGTCTACATCATAATGCGATTTCAGGAATATCCAATTTTTATTGACATTAGTTTAAGCACATCTACTAATAGTACATGTTACCATAAACACATGTGATTGTACTTCATTTTTTTAAGGCCCAATGAGATCAGCAGCAGCTTTTACTGTCCTCTTCCTGCCAGAGCCACACTCGCCTCTTTGTATAACCTTCTCCTTCCCTCCACCCTGAAGGCTGCTTTCCCATCAGGCCTTGTGCCCTCTGACAGCTGGGTTAGAGGGAGACCCTTTCCCCTCCCTCGTGTCCATCTCAACCTTTGGTGTTCTTAATTGCATTAATGACATTTTATTTATTCTTTTTTACCTGTTTTTTTTAAAAATATATATATATTTTTAATTGATTTCTGGGAGAGAGAGAGAAATGTCAATGATGAATCATAGATTGGCTGCCTCCTGCATGCCCCCTACTGGGGATTGAGTCCACAACCTGGGCATGTGCCCTGCCTGGGAATCAAACCATGACCTCCTGGTTCATAGGCTGACACTCAACCACTGAGCCACATGGGCTGGGCTGGGCTTGTTTTTTCCTTTTTGTTTCCCTTCTTAAGACGTACGTTTCCACAAGGGCCAGACCACAGCTGTTCTTTTTCCCACGCTGTTCCCAGTTCCTGGCACAGGGCTGTGGCCGTGGCCATGGCCATCTCTCAGGCCCGACCACTCTGGAGCCGGCAGACTGGCCCCCTGCCTCCCTGCGTGATGCTACCGCCCTGTGGTCCTGCCTTCTTGTCACACTTGCCTGCCTCTGGTGTGACATTATCAAGACGTATTTCCTGCTGTCTTCTTAGTCTCCTTCACCCAGACAGTCTGCTCTTCAGGCACCGACTCTTCTGGGATAGATGGGAAAGCTCGTATTGTTGCTTGTGGTGGTGGCCTTTCATTGTGTAGCTCACAAGTCTCTCCTTTCAGGCCTCTCTTCCTTGAGCCCCACAGCTGTGTTACCATTCACCCCGTGCCCTTGCCTTGATCATCCCAAGATGGTCTTACTATGCCTCAGTTTCCCCATCTGTAACATGGGGACGGTAAAAGTTAGTACTCATAGGGCTATTGTGAGAGTAAATAACAATACTCGCAAGAAGCTGAGAATGGTAAGAACTGGCTATATTACTCCCCCTGCTTGCCCTGCTGCCCCTCTTCCCTGCCTCTCCGGATGGTCTCTGACTAGAACACTTAGGATGGAAACACAATGGGTTTGTTGGTAGCATGTTCTAGCTGTGTTGTGATATAGTGGTACGTAGATTTGTTACAAATAGTACATACTGTGCTGTAATTGGTAAGTAATTGACCTTTTTGATAAACTAGAAAAGATTTAAGGTTATGCCATTGAACTCATTTCTCCATTACTCGTTTTAACTTGTTGCTGGGCTAAGGTGGGAGGGATGTGGCATTGCAGCTAGTCCCTCAGGATGGCCACATAACACTGCTTCTCTGTCCTGTGCCTTAGCCTCCAGCGTGTGCTGTGATGGATATGGCATAAATGCTCAGGTTGCACCTCACTGGGATTCTTCACCTCCTCACAGGGTTAATTTGGTTTCCCTGGCCAGTGTGGCTCAGTTGGTAGCAGTGTCACTAAAAGGCCGCAGGTTTGATTTCTGGTTAGGGCACATACCCAGGTTGTGAGTTGGATTCATAGTCAGGGTGCAGTCAGGGCACAGATGTGATGCAACCAATCATTGTTTCTCTCTCACATTGATGCTTCTCTCTCTCTCCCTCTCTTCCTTCCTCTCTTTCTAAAATCAATATACTTATCCTTGGCTGAGGATTAAAACACACACACACACACACACACACACACACAAATTTAAATTCAGGAGGCAGCCAAACAATGATTCTCTGCCATTATTGATGTTTCTCTCTCCCTCTCCCTTCCTCTCTGAAATCATTAAAAATATATTTTAAAAAATTTAGAAAGCACCAACCAATAAAAAACTATGGGTCTAGTCTGTAGGTCTGGAATGTAGCCTGTCATAGTGGACTGATTTTGTGGTATATGTCTCTACTACCAGATTCCATGCTGTGTTTTGTAAGCTTAGATTTCTTTCCCCTCGAACTCTCCAATGTATTGTCTGGCTCTTTACGGGAGAATAAATGTCAACTCTGGCCTATGTGAACAGCATAAAACTTTGAAGGGTTTTATGGAACAAGATAATCTGGTAGCAGCTAACATTTGTGTAGTCCTCTATAGGTTTAAACCCATATTTTATTACTTAGTAGAGCCTTGCGAAAACTGCAATAGAAAAGCTCCTGTTATTCACACTTTAACGATAAGAAAAACTGAAGCTCAGGAAGGTTAAGTAGGATCTTGTTCAGGTTTCACTGCAAGTAGGTGCTAATATGAGGCTGTTCATTATTTCATTTATTTAGCCAACAATATGTGCCCACCGGGTGTTAGGGACTGAAGATCATGCTGATAGAGTTTAACTGAGTCTTCTAGCTCCAGTTTCTGTGTGGCATCTTTTATAGAGGACTAGAGACCCAGTGCACAAATTCGTGCATGGGCGGGGCTGGGCCAGCTGAGGGAAAGGGCCCAGGGAGGTTGGCCACCGGGTCCCATTCTCCCCCTCCCCCCAATTGAACTCCCAGTCGAACACCCGGTGGAGGGGACAATTTACATATTAGGATTTTAGTATATAGGACTAGAGGCTCAATGCACAAAATTCACGCAAGGGGCTCGGCCCTGGCAATCACGGTAGCTTGCTTTGACCCTCACAGCCCCGGCTACGTCCAGAAGGTCATTTGGCAGCCCAGTATCATTAGCATATTACGCTTTTATTATTATAGATGCTCGCTGTGTTATGGGTTATAATACTTTAGCCCAAGTGTTCCCCCGAGGGCCCAGCTTTCTAATCACGATGCTAACAGGAGCCTGTTGTGCCACTGTACACTCCCTCCCCCAGGCCGATCTGTGCCCTTGTCCTGTCACCTGTGAAAATGATTTCCTCTGCCCTTCCACTTTCAGGATTATCAGAGTAGTTTAAATGATCTCAATAAAGTTCTCCGGCTAGACTCAAGTATTGCCGAGGCCCAGATGGAACTGGAAGAGGTGACCAGATTCCTTAATGTGAAGGACCAGGCCGCATCACTCAACAAAGAAAAGGAGAGAAGGAAAATTGAGATCCAAGAGGTATTTGTATTTGATTATCCTTCAAAGTACTTTTTTGGGGATCTTATATTGGATTCTAAGGTCATATTCCTATGAGTTCTACCTATTTTTTTTTTAATTGTGTTTTTTATACCGATGCTCAATGAAGAAATTTAAACCGGTTGTAAAGACAAAGCTTTCCTTTGCCATGGTGATTAGCCCATGTCTTCCTGGTTTAGTCCATGGATGGTATTGGGAGTCTGCATTAGGTTCTTTCGTTCTTTGCCCTTATCCCCACTCCCTCCCTGTCTGGCCTGTTTTGTACTGCTTCCAGATTGCGCTGGGAGCCTATGGCCACTGAGCTTTGCTTCAGGGTAGACCCAGAAAATGCTGACGGGACTGATTTTGTTTCATTGGGCCTGGCAAGCCACATGCCATAAAGATTTTCCAGTTTGTTTCAGACCTTTTAGCACTCTAAGACTGGCCTCATCAGAGATTTTTGGACTACCTTTGATTTCAGATTAACTCGGTGTCTTATGCTATATAGCTTTCTGCTTTGCCTTCAGGGAAGAATATCAATCATGAATTCCTGTGTATTCATGAATACTAATATGTCATATTACATTTCCACTAAGAGTAAGGAGCTAAAATGTGAGATGCTCGGAAGTGTTTTTCCTCTAAGGATGGAAGAAAACTCTTTTTTTAAGAGAATTGAAAAAAAAAAGTTTGCTTCTCTATTAAATATAAAGAAATAAGTAAAAGTTATGAAAAAGAGATAAAGTAGTTATAGATCTTCTTTCATACAGCAGCTTTATTCATGGAAAATTATAAAAAGAGCCCTGGCTAGTGTGGCTCAGTTGGTTGGGCATCATCCCATGCCTGGAGGGTACCAGTTCGATTCCAGCACATGCCTGGGTTGCAGGCAAGATCCCCAGTAGGGGGAGTGCAAGAGGCAACTGATCAATGTTTTGCTCTCTCTCACATTGATGTTTCTCTCTCTCTCCTTCTCCCTTCCTTTCTCTTTAAAAATCAATAAAATATTCTAAGTATTTTTTTTCAATGTTAGAAATATTTTATATTTAAAAAATGCTTTTATGAATGAATACTAATACCTTAAAACTTCTCTTCCTCAAAAAGTAGATTTTATGATTGATTACAGACTACACATTTTCACTTAAGGAACTTGACTAAATTCAGTGCACTTGCGTTTTTCGGTTCTTCCCCATCTTAATAAATGTCACGTGGGATGTGCGCAGTGGCGGCTGATTGTGCCAGGGTGTAATTTTTTTTCCTCGTGAAGGTGAGTGAAGGCCACGAAGAGCTCGGAAGGACCCCCGAGGAGGACCGCACGGGCTGCCCCGCCTCTGAGGGGGACAGCAGCCCGGGGCCACCAGAATGCCATGAACAACTGCCCATCACCAAGCCCAACAATGCCTATGAATTTGGGCAGCTGATGAACGCTGTCAGTGCCAGGAAAGATACGGAAGCCTGTGCACGCCTGTTGGCCATCACTGAGCCGGAAGATCTGCCCGCGCTGCTGAGTAACAAACTCGAAGGGGATCTATTCCTCCTCCTCATTCAGTCTCTGAAAAATGAACTCGTTGATAAGGATCCCTCATTGGTATATCAGCATCTTTTCTATCTGAGTAGAGCGGAAAGGTTTAAGGTAAGCGGCAGAGTACCTCATCGGAGAGACTGATTTTACAGGCTTTCTGTAACTTTGACATGTTAACGGATTATGCTAATGTAAGTTTTCTCCTTCTTTCAGATGATGTTGGCCCTAATTAGCAAGGGCCAAAAGGAGCCAATTGAACAGCTTTTTGATGACCTCTCAGGCACACCAAACAAACATTTTACTTTAGAAGATGTACAGGCCCTAAAAAGGCAGTATGAGCTTTAAATCAAGATTACTGTTAGATCTCCTCCATGCATGCCTGTGTCCCAGGAATATAGTGAGACGGTATTGTAATACAGTTGCATGGATAAAACCTTGCTTAGAAAAGATCCCTGGGTCTGGACTATAAAGTATTTTACTTATTTTTATACATAGAACATGTATATTCTACAATCTGCTTTTTATCAGTTGTAAATATTTTCTTATGTACCAGAGCGGACATCTTTATATTTAATAATAAGTATATTTGGAACTTATTCAGCTGCATTTTAATTTATATCATACATTTGCTTTAATAACTTGTTAAAAAATTGAGTTAAATTACATTCTTTGGGCTATGAAGGCATCCACTTAGGCTTGACAGAAATATATTTCTTTAAAACGCATTTTTAAAAGTGAAAAATCATTAACTGGTTATTAGCTCACCTTTATTTTCTGCTAATACATATATAAGTCCCATTTATACTACTTGTATATTACAGTCTGCTAAGGAAAAATGCAATACTTAAATCCATAATATGAAATGGTTATTAAATAAATTGTGACTATCAATTGAAAGCTTTAGGGGAACTTATTTTTTCTAATATTAAAGCATTGCCTAATAATTAAGAATAAAAATTGCCAAAAATTTCTACTTTTTACTAGACTTTAAAAAGCTCCTTTCCCTTATAAATTGCATATGTAAGCAACAACAGAACAACAAATATGTAAGAGCAAACAAAACCTTCATTGTAACCCCATATTTCCCCGAATATTTAAATGTCTGCCTGCCCCTCTTTTAAGCAGACATTAATGTCAAAAGTGAAGATTTCATGAAGCTCTTTCGTTAACTCAGGGTAAATGTATTTCTTAAAACAACATTCCAGTTTTTATCAGTATACCATCAAACACATTCCTGTAGTCTTTAGTCAGTTCTCTTTTTCTGGAGTATTTTCTTGTTCTTTAGAAGTTAAGATAAAAGAATATCACTTTGTTTTACCTCTTTTTTTTATAATTATAGAATATTTTTAAATTGTTTTATTGATTTCAGAGAGGAAGGGAGAGGGAGAGAAAGATAGAAATATCAATAATGAGAATCACTGATCGGCTGCCTCCTGCATGCTCCCCCCATGCCCCTCCCACTCCCCAATGCGGACCCAGCCCACCACCCAGCACATGGCCCGACCAGGAATCGAACAGTGACCACCTGGTTCATAGGCCTACATTCAATCACTGAGCCACACCAGCTAGGCTAATTACAGAATATTTTAAATATTGTTGTGGGTAAATGGTATCTTTCAAAACATGCCATTTTTCTTTTCAACTTTTTTGTTCATAAATGAAAATCTGTAATAGTATTTAGTTCTAGTCTTCAAGCCAACAAGCAAAAACAGTTTTCTCCTTTGTAATACTATTAAATTTTTGTAAAAGTAAGTGATGGAGTGTGTTAGTTACTTTAGAACAGGGCCATAACAAGGAAACACGTGTCTTGTTGACTGTCACATACTCAGCACCGAGCTGCATGGGACTAAGCTGTCCCGAGAGGAGGTGGAGAGCAGTGAGTGGAGGCCTGTCTGTCCTGGTTGTGTGGGTGGGAACTAGAGAAATCCACCTCCAGCAGCACCCAGCGCACTGAGGCCGCACTGCATTACTGAGGGGAGGAAAAAGAAAGGAAAGGAAGCAGATAAGAACATCAGTGCGCATTCAGGGAACACAGTTGCTGCTGACCTCTTCAGGACTTCATCCGGAAATCTGCCCACGAGCCCCCGGAGTATCCCACTCGATCTCCCCACCGGGTGCGTGGGTACCCCCAGCGCCCCACGTGCTGAACCGCACCTGCTCCCCTTCTGTGGCCGGAGCCTTGTACATGCCCTGCGTGCGGTAGCAGAAGCAGAGCCAGTGACCAGTGTTCTCAGAAAAATGGACCAGGGTGTGCAGGCCAGGAAGAAACCGAAAACTGCAGCTATAGCACCACTTCCTGGAAAACAGCGAGGCTTCCAGTGGTCCGCATGGTGAGTTATAAGACAGGAGATGAAGGATTCTGCCACAGAGGGAGCGATGCGAGTGGAACAAGTCTTCCCTTTAAAAGACTGAGGAAACCTTCAGCTGGGAATCCCAACAATCACTGCCACCTCAGTGTGATACCACCACCACCACAAAAATACAAGGGACACGACAAATCAAGAAAAAGGTCACCCCCAAAGCCACACAGCACTTCTGCCTCCACTCCCCGGCCACAGGGCGCTGCCCAGTCACAGAGAGGCTGAAGAGGAGCCGGGGCGTTTGCTGGGAGGGGAAGAGAACCAGGTACTGGTTGAGACGGGTAATGCCTCCCAAAGGAACTGCTTGTGTAATTAAACTAAGCCCTGACCGCGAATCCGTGCGCCAGGAGCTCTCTGGGGCCTGGCTGTGCTGGGCCCACTGCCTGGAGGCCCTCCGCAGCTCAGAGGCCCATCTGCAGCTGGGCGTGGAACGCTCGCCGCATTGCTGGGGCGATGACACAAGCATTCTGTGCCCCAGCCTGGCCAGAGGCCCATGGAAGGCCAGGCCAGAACCTTGCCTTGTTGCCATGGCGATGAAGCAAGCATTCTGTCAGGCTGCGCACGCTGCCTGGGGGACTCTGGTGAGGCTGAGAGGACTGCGGTGCCAACTTTGTTATGGAGTGCCGGTTAACTTGCGTATTACCCTTTTTAAAAAATATTTTATTGATTTTTTACAGAGAGGAAGAGAGAGGGATAGAGTTAGAAATATTGATGAGGGAATCATCATCGATCAGCTGCCTCTTGCACACCCCCTACTGGGAATGTGCCCACAACCAAGGTACATGCCCTTGACCGGAATCGAACCTGGGACCTTTCAGTCCGCAGGCAGATGTTCTATCCACTGAGCCAAACCGGTTTCGGCCACATTATCCTTTTATTAGACAGGATCTCTGATACTTTCTACCATTTTATATGCAACATTACCCAGCATTGACTGCTTCTCACAGATTTTTCCCTGCTCCAAATGTTCTCTCTTCCCTCCTCCCTCCTCTCTCCTCCCTCTCCCCAAACACAGGGCTAACACCCTTCTCGGCCCTCCTTTACAACCCAATGCCAGGGTCACTCCCAGAAGCTTTTCCTTACCGGCCCTGGCTGAGTGCAGTGACCTGTGAGCTTTCTCCCAGTGCCACGTGTGTGGCTCTGTCAGCTCTAACCACTGTTTTGGTGGCTGGGTTGACTTATCTGTGACAGAGACTGGCTGGCTTAGTCCTGTCCTCCATATTGCTCAGCAACATGCCTGGCACAGTAGAGATTCAGTAAATCATCTTTGATGAGTGAGAAGCTATTTACATCTATTTCAGCAGAATGTTAGCACTTGGATTTTATGGGGTGCTGTAAAAGAAGTCTCAAAGAAAGCAATGCTATACAGAGTGCAGGTGATTTCCCAGCAAATTCTTCAGTACCTTATAAGCAAAGTTTCTAGACAGGAGAGTGAAAGACTTAATACTGAAACAGAGAAAGGGGGAAAACCCAAAGGCCCTTAACTGTAAGTGACAATACCCAGAAGTATATAACACCCAAGCAAATCACCATCACTGGGCTTAAGTTTACACATTATTTTCCTGTTAATCCTGAGGGTATTTTTTCCAGTGATTTTTAGTGAGTGGAAGGGAGGGAGGGAGAAGTAGAGACAAACATCAATATGATAGAGGCGTGTAGATTGGTTGCCTCCTGCATGTACCCCAACTGAGATAGGAACTGAACCTGCAACCCAGGTACACACCCTTGATGGGGAATTGAACCCATGACTTTTCGGTGCATGGGCTGGTGCTCAAACCACTGAACACACTGGCCAGAGCAAGTTTACATATTTTTAAATGATTAAGAAGTATCATCTGTGCTGACATGTTTGCTTCAAATAACACATGAAATTACTTCTAAGCTGTATATGGGACCCTGTCATTTTCTGGTTCATGGACCATATAAACACTTCTTATAAATACAACCTGAATCTATGCCCGGCCAGTGTGATTCAGTGGTTGAACTAGGAGGTCACGATTCAATTCCCAGTCATGGCACATGCCCAGGTTTCAGGCTTGATCCCCAGTAGGGGTATGCAGGAGGCAGCCCATCAATGATTCTTATCATTGATCTTTCTCTCTCTTTCTGAAACCAATAAAAATATATTTATAAACACACACACACAACAGAACCTGAATCTAGAGTTCCACATCTAACTATGGACCATCAGTTCATGACCAGGCTCTGCAGTTGTTACCACATGATCCCATGATCCACTACCCCGGTCATCCTCAGCCGCCTGACCTTAACAGACGTCACCTCTCCAATCAGTTTCCCTTCCTTTTAACTTACCACTCATTTTTTTATTAGCCAGTTGGCACCACTCAGGCCAAAAAGACCGCCCTGAAGACTGATGTGGACGTCTATAATCCTGCCTCCGTTCTCTACCAAAGGCAGGGGTGGGAACCTTTTTTTCTGACAAAAGCCATTTGGATGTTTATAACATAATTCTTGTGTCGTACACAATTATCAACTTAAAAATTAGCCTGCTATGTTTGGACAGACATTTAACTCCCCCCTAATGCCTTGGCAGGGCCAGACCAAATGATTTCACAGGCCTCCTACAGCTTCTCTGGACGTTCCCCACCCTGAGACAAGGGATGTCTGTTAGCAGAAATCTCTGCCTCTGGAGTAAAAGGGATTCTGTCAAATTTGAAGATTTTGATGTCTGTAGCTAAAAATGAAAGGAGATCATAGAAAGATCAATGGCAAGCAAGAGGAGATTACAATACCAGAGATTTCCATAACAGCCTCCTCTTTCTTTTCTCTAGCAAACTGCTTTCGAGCATAGACTATGGCATCAGAAAAACCTGGTCTTAAACCCCAAATCCATTAACCTCCAAGACTAGGTTCCTCATCTGCTTATATAATAGCCAAATGAGGCAGGATATACCAATTCAGGGCTGTAATGCTACATAGTTCATGTAAAATGCCAGGTGGCGCTTAATCATCTTCTCTCTCACGTTTGTAATTGCTTTCTTCCTGTAAGTCTAATGATCTCATCTGTGTTGTTAGAGAAAAGACTAAGAAGCTCTTTGGAAATATTATGGGCACTTTCATGTTTACTTACTGGATAAGAAACACACATTAAGACCCCTCCAATAGAAGTATAGCCAGGGAAGTGACTGGCCTTGCAAGACTGGTGCCATCTCTTGGACATTAGTCACGTTAAAACATCCAAGAGCTTACTCCACCAGTTGAGCTGCACCGAGAATCTCTTTGTAACAGCACGTGTCTCTTTTTTCCAACCTGTCACCATTCTGGGGGTGAGCCAACACTAAGAGTGGTACATTCAGTCTGGCACAGGCTGTGGGTGCTTAGTAAGTGCTGAATGTATGAGTCCAGAGGACACTGCCCTAAAATGTGCTCTGATATCCAAAATTCAGATTAGAGAAGTTCCTATGACTAAGTTTACAGCGACATTGGAAATATTTCTCGAGTAATTCTTAGAATATTTGCATCAGAATCACTTGGAAATTTTACAGAGCCTAAGGGGTAGGGAATCTAACTTTTAAAGCATCTATTGTGATTCTTAGGCAAGTTGGAATACGCAACCCACTGTTCTAGAAGCTGAGGAGGGGGCAATAATTAATATCTGATTTCCACAAACGTTCTAAATGAAAACTATTTATGGCCTCTAGAATAAAGTATTGTGGAGCATAAATAAAAAGGATAGCTCCTCCTTTTAATGAGTTTATATGATTAATTTTTTTTGGGGGGGGGGGGAACAGAAAATAAATCCAAGTTCAAGATACTCTAGTACAAAAAAGTATCAATGAAATGTTCAAGTGTCAAAGTTATCAAAAGGTCAATTTCAGGAAGAGGTAAAAGCTAAGCCGGGTTTTAAAATAGAGGGATGGATGAGAAGCCAGAGGGCAGTGGACTGAACTACTCTCCTGCAGAATTCAGTATCACCCTGCACTGGACACTTACCCTCCAACTGGGCCCCTGCAGATGCTTTGCCGGGGAGTAGGCAGAGACCAGACAAGACATTTGCAAACCAAATAGACTGGGGTTTCTACTTTTCCTTAGGGTTTTAATAGGGACACAAGTCAAATTCAAAAACAGCTGAAAATTTCATCTAACTACCCCTTGACTTTTTTTATGACAATTTCCCAACTGTAAAATTTTGCCAAACATTTGCTATAATTAATTCGTGGTTGGGAGGACTATTTTAACAAACACAATTTTAAATTCTAATTCAGATAATATTTCACTAGTATAGATATAACAACAAATGTTGGCGAGGGTGTAGATAAATTACAAGCCACACATATTATGGATAGGAATGTAAAACGGTGCATCTGCTTTGGAAAACAGTTTGGCAGTTCTAAAAGTTAGTGTTACCGTGTGACCCAACAATTCTGCTCCTAGTGTTATACACAAGAACACAGAAAACATATGCATAAATGTTCTTAGAAGCATTTATAATAGCCAAAAAATGTAGAAGCATCTGAAATATCCATCAACAAATGA